TTTTTTTTCAGGGTGATTTGTTTTCAATCAATTCAACAGATTTGATTCGATGCAAGAATGCAGGTAAGTACGTGATCGTTTTCGAAAAAGAGGTAAAGCACGAGCTCAAATATCATTGCAAACCCTGACTTTGACGCTATAAATTTTTTCTGGTTTCATACGTCAAAAATTGATTGACGTGTTTTCAAAAATCCTGAAGCGCTTTGCACCTTTTGTAGCAGACCCTTTTTGCATATAATCCGAAATGCAGCTCGTCAATACAGTGCTCGAACAGACGCCTACTCGTTATCAAAAACTGAGAAAAACTTTGAAGGCACAAACTTTTCGTTGGATTGAAGAAGACTCCGCGTTTCACAGATGCTCTACAGCAGCGTGCGACCTTATGTGCAGGGACAAGGAAAACAGGAGTGGTGATTCAGAAAGGTGAACAGCATTTGCACAGAAGAACATCATTTGCTTCACGTTATATTCTAACTCCAAACAACAGCTTCTTCTCCTTCACCGCAAAACTAATAATAGCATTACTGGTTCCTAGCAGAAAGCCAATAAGTGCATCATCTTGCAGGAAAGAAGTTCGTAAAAACGTCCTCAATATGTACTGAAGAAATGTCACTTCATAGATTAAGACTAACATAGAGACACGAAAAGTTGACTAACATCACGCAATTACCATATTGCATACTCATGAATGTGACTAAAATTAGACTGCCTTAATTTTACTTTATCAATATAAATGTTGATACTTCTGAATGAAAAACAGCTGATAAAACTCTGAAATGGGGATACAATTGGACCGTTAACAAAAATTAGGATTTCCTAGTTCATTTACGGTTTTTATACTTGTTTGTGTAATCGTTGAACTTTCTTGATCCTAACCTCAGATAACTAGGAATAGCAAATCATAAGGTGCCACACATTATCGGCTAGCTTCAAAGATATGCATACCTGTTCTTGAAGGCAATGTTGAAGGGAACCATAAACGCAGTATAGAACGTCAGCGCCAGTATCGACCAGTCCCAAATAGTTTTGAAGGTTGAATAATGTAGAATAATGTGTGGCGACGTCTTTGGTGTCTCCTGTCGATACTGCGGCAGCATGTCGCCACCCAGGTTCATGACCTTAAATTCTTTTTATTTTGGCAGTCAGTGAAAAGTCCATTGTGAGTAATAGTTGAACCAAGGATTAGATTGAGCCAAAAGGCGATTTTTATTTCGTAAGTTCTATCTTATGCCACATTTTTGATTATTGGATTGGAAAATACTAAGCGAATTCCCATATTTTTATCTCAAATGATGTGGTACATTAAATCTTTGAAATTACATGACTATGGTGTATGAGCTGCGAGCAGCGATTTCTGCCCAATTTTGCCATCGCATGCATAAATACGTCAGGTTAATAGAAAATAGGGGTCTGCAAACTCGGTCCAGTTCTTCGACTTGCTGATTATAAAAATAATACTGCAGTGATATTTTCAACGCTGCAACAAATGGATGTGAATGTCGAGGATGTCAACACGCATTTGTGCACGGCCTCGACAAAAAAGAACCATAATTTTAACCGCTGCTTACTTTGTTTTCCTTTGATAAAAAACATGAGAATAAGATTATAATGTTAACTGAAAAAAATAAAGCTTGATTTTCATGCAACTAAGAAAAAAGAGCCGAAACTGCAGCTAGAAGACAAGCCAACAACCGCAGTAACCTATAACAAATTCTGTGTCGATTTATCATTGGAATAAAAAAGTCTCTCGTATGTGAATTAGAT